TGCATCAAACTGTAAAAACATTTAAAGCACCACTAGAACAGAATGAATACTTTGCCACACATAGCGAATGCTCAATAATTTAGGACAGGATACGCAAAACTTTATCACATCTAAGTGAAACTGCAGGGGAATGTAGGTGATCACAACGTAATTACCTGAGCTAATTATCCTACATAACCCCAGGCTGTACGCCACTCTTGCGAAACTGTCATGGGATCTCTCCCGACAACTGGTTAAGCTTCCTGCCTCAAGTTTTAAAGGAGAGATAGCAACCTGAGCAGCAGCTTCTGCAAACATTACTTTTGATCAAACCCAACATTCAGAGGGAGCAGCCAAACATCAACACCACTCTGAGTGTTCCTTACCCGCTGCAACAGTCCTTGTATTGCTTCCTTGTCAGTCCCTCTACTAACACTAGGATGGCAAAGATGGTTTGGAATGACGCATGACTGCTCCTAAAACAAACTGCGTGTCCTCGGGAGGTGCCATGAACTTGCTCACACTGCCTGGATAACACAGACAGGACACACACGAAGAACTTTCACTCAGAGCAGCCGTTTGGAAGCACGGAACTTTTAAATGCTGATTATAGAGAATTCGGACAGAAACTTGGACACGGATCACTCCTGACAATTACTCACTTCCCCGCTGCTCACAGTGTGTTAATATCACACTAGCAAGAAACAGACCGTATGATCCATTACAGATCACTGACTTTCTCCTGGTACATCCCAGAAGAGCAAGGGATCACTAACACCAAACAACTGCTTTTTCACCACACTGCTAAGATGAGTTTAGTTGGAAACTTGCCTTAAACTGAAGTTATACTCAGCAATTTCAACTGACTGTATCTCAGGATATAATTCAGAGAGCTGTAGAAGCATTGAGTCCCCTCCACAATTCTATTAACTGCAAACTCTTAGCCATAACACAATCAAATTTATTTTAAAATCTAAGTATTTAAGAGGAGCTTCTGTCCCTGAAGAGCTCTACATGCAGGGGGTCAGCAACAGCAATTTCCCCTAGGGATGAAGGAAACCCCAAGTTTTACAAAGAGTTTTATTCTAAGTCCATTCCTGACTACCCAGAACACAGATAGATACTCTGCAAAGGAGCCATCTGCATCAAGCTCTTTCACAATGAAAAGTTTTGTTTTTGGGAAGCTCTGAGGATTACATTTAAAGCTAGAATTCTAAAACAAATAATGACACATATTAAAAGTTCACTCTGTATGTTTGCAATAGCTGACCATTAAAGAGTTTTTTTAAGGAGTGAAGCAGCGGGTTTGTGCAAGGAAAGCTGCGTTATCACACTTTCCAAAACAAAATATATATTATATATATATATATATATATATATATATATATAAATATTTTGTTACAGACTGAGATATTACAGGAAGAGACACAGAAATATATGGGCATTACAGAGCACAGAAATGCTGCTTAGCTTCATACTTGACCACTCTGCAGCTCTTTCTGTCAGTCCCCAGCCTGTGCTTGTTCCTATTAGCAATTAAGTACAATGGAGAGCTCTATGTTGCGACTGAGCAAGCTGAACGATGCTGGCAGTGCTACTTTTAGATGGGATCACGTGTCACAATTAACACAGAGCCCTCAAGTAGCTCTTAAGGCACTGCTAATGCTTTCTTGACTAATTAAATTAAGTTAATCTCGTATACATTTCTACAGTGTCTAACTAATACACTGACATGGCTTCAAAGTGTTCATTTCTCAAGAAATCCCCTTTCTCAATGAGCACTTTTTGGTTTTGTATGTTGAGAAAAATCATTACCACTGCCAAATAAATATTGCCAGCATCATCACAACCCAACATCTGAAAACACCAGACATAAGTAAGCCTAGACTAAATGTAACCACTTATGGTCATAATATCCTCAAGTCTTTCACAGTTTGAATTAAGTTCCCTGAATTTACAAGCACTGCTTTACGATTCCATTTCTGAAAACTGTGGGAGACTTTGGTGCATTTCTCTTGTCAGAATGCTTTACTCAAGCCATAAGACATTCCATAGCACTGGAAAGAAAAACAAATATGTCATTTACACAAAGAGAGAATAGCAACTTATGTAAGGACAGCTTAACTTACTGTTACATAAATGAAGGATGGAAACAGGGATGAAAACATAGCCCAATTTTTCCTCTTTGTGCCTTCCTCAATGGCATTGCTATGCCATCATTTCAGAGAACAAACTTCCTGGCTCCCTGATCCCTAAATTAGTGAGGGATTCTGTTAATTTTCACCTTGCTGCTGCTCAGTGGACACACATGTATTCATCTCAATCACTGCCCAGAACTCAAAACAGTTTACTTTTCAAATACTCATGTCATTGCTTTGTCTGAGATGGTAGAATACTACAGAGGGAATATAGAGAATACGATAAAGGTTTTCTGAGGAAATAATCCATCACAGTCTAAATACGTATTGCTTCCACGTTAAGATCCAAAAACATGCACACTACTGATAAGCAGTTTGACACGGTATGGAACCTGAAGAAATTCCAACTCACGTCTTCTATCCAGGGCTTGGGAAAGGAGGGATTCCGAGTACCCTGGTACATGTGTGGAGAGAAAAACAAAAAGAAACCACAAGGAAATAAGGAGAAAGGAAATAGATCTATAATGCTGCAGTACCTGGTCTAATTGGCATTTCACAGGATGCCATTAGATTACTAACTCAATTTCTCTAATAAGGAACAAATAGATCATCTGTTAAAAAACACTCCAAAAGGGAATTACAAGGACTGCCACCAGTGGGCATTTCACTATGAATTCAAGTCCAAACCTCCTCTGTGGAGGAAAATTAAGTCACGGTGCAAATAAGCAGCATAACGTCTCTGCCAGAGCTCCCAGCTCAAGCTGCCCATTAACCCAATTAACTGCCGTAGTAAGGCTGGTTTCTGACATTACAACTAAAAGATCTTAAAAGGACACACTGTTCCAGTCAACTTCGAAAAAATACACAGCAACTGCACAGAAACAACCCCAGCACAAAACACAGCCTCCCTATCTGTCTGCTGACAGTCACTTCCAAAAAGCAAAGGCTTTGTCTTCCTACTGCTGCACTTACTCACGCTGTACTCACTGAAATCCTCCTTTGGCATCATTTCAAGGAGATTCGGGAGCACAGAAACACGCTGTAGCACTGACAAACGCTTAGATTTGAAGAATAAAAAACTGTTGGACAGAGATCACTCAAAAATATGATGGGATATATATATGTGTGTGTGCATATGTAACAGAATTTACAAAGGGAAGAAGGAAAAACAAAAAATAAACTTATTCTTGGTAGCTTTCGCTCATTTTTGGTGAATGTATATCAATTTTAAGAAGTTATCTACCTCAAACACATCACATTTGATGTGAAGTAAAACCAGCCCATGTCAGCATGCCAAAACATTTGCTTAACTTCAGAAGAAATGCTCCATAGAAGTATAGGGTGCACCCTGTCATGCATTTATTAAAAAATATTGCCATCAAATCAATAATCCCCTTTCTTTAGAGCATGAAAATCACACAGCGTATACATTTTAATAATTTGCAGTACAAAACGCCATTCGTAGATGAAAAAGAAGAGGAAAGAAGCCCAACCTATTTACTTAGCAGCTGCAAACTCCCTGCTACACAAGCCAGTGAGAGTTACACCAAACTCTGCCTTGCAAACCACAAGACCCACGATACAAATAAACAGAAACTGCACATGAGAACAAGCAGAACGGCTCTATGCAGCCACGTCCTCCATCCCCACGAGCCCAATGAAGTTACACAGAGTAAGGGCCACTGAGAACAAGTAAGGTGTGTGAAGAGGAGAAACGTGAAGTACAAGAGAACGGAAAGAGTTCTCATAAGGACTCTGACCGTGATTTTATTATTTTCAAACAAAAGATATGGGGAAAAGGCTTTCCAGTGATTCCAGCTGTCATCTTCCTCATCTGCCTCTGGCTGCTGCTGGTTTCTGTTTGTCTGATTAACATTTTCCTCAGCACAGGGCAGGACGCGGTCAGTTGGTGCACGACCATGAAACAACCAGACCCTCCATTTTCACTTCTGTATTTAATGAGTCTCTCACAACACACAGCTCTGAAAATAGGTACGTGGGTAAGCGAGCTATAACCGTTAGCCTAAGTCCTCAAGCACCTGGAAAAAACCTCGTATGTCATAAAAAGAACAGCGCTGTCAACAGATCTGCTTGGAGACACCAAGGCAAAACCAAGGGGCTTCGGAATTCTCCCTTCCAGTTAGTTAACCAAACGTTAGCTGCTAGAACCTGTCTATGGAATTCATCCGCCACCGGACCACAGTAAAGGTATTATCAGTTACGTTGAGAAAGCATTCGACTTAATCCCGACACAACCGCGTCCTCCCCGCCCCACTGCGAGCGGGGCGTCCCACCGACAGGACAGCTTCCCCAAACGCCAGAGTTTTACCTCACGAGCCTCTGCGAGCCCTCGCTTCAAACGAACTGAGGTCATTTAGGGAAGGAATTAAAAAAAAAAAAAAAAAAAAAAAGCGAGGAGGGAGGGACGATCGCGAAGTTGCGGCCGGCGCGGCTCCCAACTTTTGTCTGGCGGCGGCGCAGAGCCGCTCCCGGCCGCAGGGGGCGCTCGGCCCGCAGCGCGGCTCCCTCCCGCCGTGCCGGCCCTGCCTCGGCGCCGCGGCCCCGCCGCAACTTCGCCTCCCGTGTCCTCGGCCGCCCCCTGACCCCGTCAGGGGCCGCCCGCTCGGCGGCTTCCCCACGACGTGTGTCCCCCCCCTCCCTGCCCCCCCACACGCGGCGCCGCGTCCCCGCACGCCCCGCCGTCCCTCCGCTCGGCCCGGCACCGTCTCGGAGCCGCCCCCCCCCCCCGCGACAGCGGCGCTGTCCCCAGCGGTTCACCGGCCAAGGCCCTGCCGCCGTCTCCGCCGCCGTCGCGGTCCCCCGCCCCCAATTCCCTACTCCCCGTACGTCGTCCGCTGCCCGCTCCCCGCCGCCAGCCCTCACCCGCGCCGCCGCCGTCTCTTCCAGCCCGGCCGCATCTGCCTTGGTGCCCCTTTTGGAAGAGCGGGTCCGGGACGAGATGAAATGGCTGCCGGCTCCGGCCGCCGCGGCCGCCGCTTTGCCCAGGGGGCGCAAGGAGCTCTTCCTGGTGTTCACCATGGCCCCGGGGAGGGGGTCGCGGGGGGCCCCGCCGCTGCTGCTGCCGCCGCCGCTGCTGCCGCCGCCGCCGGCGCGGAGGGAGGAGGGAGGGCGGACAGGCGAGGACTCGGGAAGGGAGGGGAAGGGAAGGGGAGGGGGAAGAAGGAGAAGAAGTCCTTCGGGGACGCCGCTCCGCCGGGCAGAACCACAAGACGGAACCGCGCCGACTCCTCCCGCCGCTGCCGCCGCCTCCTCGGCTCAGCCCCGCGCTAGCCGGCCGCCATTACTGCCCCTTCTCCCTTTCTCTCCTCGCCGCGCCGCCACCCCGGCTGTTGCCGCAGGGGGGCGCTGCGGCGCCGCCGCCTCCGCGCGTAGGGCCGAGGCGGCCCCCGCTGTGTACGTTCTAGCACGGCGCCGGCGCCGCTCTATGGGCCTGGCGCGAGCCGGGGGCACGGGGGTAGGCGATCGGTAGGATTCCCAGGGAGCGGGACGGCGGGTTGGAACGGCCGGGAGCGGCCCGCGCAGGCAGAACGGCTGCGGGGCGGGGGCTGCGGAGCAGCCGTCCTGTCAGGCTGAGGGCCGCGGCGGAGCTCTGGAGGCGAGGGGTCGAGGCTTCTGTCAGTCGCGCCTGCCTCGGCGGGATCCGGCGCCTCGGCGATTACGGCAAGGGATCGTAGAGATTCGGGGCCGGGCCGAGGAAGGGACGGCTGCCCACGGCCGGGGGGGGTTGGGAGGAGACGGCCCCAGAGAGCGCCCGCGGAGCTCCGCTCAGCCGTGGGACTTCGTGTCGGTCAGTGACACGGCTCACACAGACGGGGGTTAAGGAACCTGCCCCTCTGCGTGGAGAACGAATTTCACAGCCTGTCGAGTTCGGCTGCGAAGGAATCCTGTGACGGGCGGGCGGACGGCGATGCGCCCTTGCGCTGTCCGCCGTGCGGCTCACCCACAGCGTGCTCTCGGCGTCCGATGTCCATTGCTCAGCGGTCGGAAAGCTGATTTTTCTCTTGTCTCCTCTCGCTCTCATCGCAGATCCAACAATCACGTTGCAGAGAGCCGAAGACTGGTATCTGTTATGCTACATCGGATGCCTCAGCGCTGCTCAAACTGCTCATGAACTACGATCCTTCTATATTGATGTGCAGCAAGAAGTCCTTGTGCCACCAGCTGATGGCCTTCATTGAACTTAATCACAACACATGTAAAACAAATAACAAAATAAAACAAATTCAGTAACAGAAGCACAGAGCTGTATGTGATGTAGTCAGTAATAGAAGCACAGAGCTGTAGGTGATGCATTCAGTAATAGAAGCACGGAGCTTTAAAGTGATGAAGTTACAGCCTCTGTTTGTTACTCTTACACTGCTGCTTTGGCAAAAAATAGTAATACGATTTCTGATGGCATGGCAGGGGCTGCTAGGCTCGTACAGGCTTTATCAGTATTCTTAGTGCTTAAAGATGGAAATTGCAATATAAATAGAGAACAATAAATGTAAAAACTGTTATTCTGGTTTACATCCACACTCCCGCATACTTCCTTTCAAGATTAAAGTCTGAAAGCACGGTGGAGTGTATACTTAAAAATGTGAAACTTACAATAGTTCCATTAGGATGTATGATAAGGAAATGGGCCATTTAGATTTCCAAGAAAATAATTATCTCTGTATACAGAGAGAATTTTTCATTTTTCTAAGTACTGCATCCTAGAAGTAGAAATGATGATCTTTTGATTAGCTGACATTCTCTGCTTACAGCTTTTAATCTGTAATAGCAACAGTACTTCGTCTCCTGTTTAAGAACCTGCAGTCTTTCTAAAGCACAGTTGTTCTGCTCAGTGCAGTTAGTTTGGTTACATTGCCTATTCTTCATTTATTCCTTTATTTGTTTTGAGGTTATGGAAAGATGTAGCCATTTCAAACACTTGTAGGGTAAAGGAGTATTTTAATGTAAAACGCATGACAGATTTTGAAAATGATACTGGGAAACAACTTGTAGGAATGGAAGGAAATGGCAAGAGGCTGTAGTTCACCAAAAGTGTTATGGGAAAGAAGCCAGAAATGTGTTACCTAAAAGCTATTACTGCAACCATATGATGATAGATAAATGTGCTTTCCCATTTCCATCCTTACTACTGATCAGCCATGTAGTTCAGATACGGTGTCCAAATTCTTCAGGTCTGAAAATGAAAAATAGTATTTTGATCTTCTTAAAGTTTTTGTGTGCATCACAAGAATACCATCCCCATTTTGGGAAAACCAACAGATGAAGCTGTGGCCCAAAAAAGGACCCAAACTGCAGATGCAGTGAATGTCATAACTCAGGATTGCAATGCATTGGCAGGACTGTTTGCATAACATCTGCTTGCAACATGCCTGATTCAAACCAGCACTCCTCCCTCCTCTGATGAACACTGATGACTTTTTAAAAGTAAAATAAACTTTGTCATTATGCAAGCAAAATTATTTTCTGGGTGCCTATCCAGATCTGCTTGAAGCAACAGAAAGGCAACAACATGAAAGCAATTTATATTTACCAAATATTTTGACCATAGTTGTGTCCTTCTTTTTTTTCCTTTGTCCTTTTATTCCTATGTTCTGATCTCATTCCTGTGAGCCATGCTCTTTATGACACCAGAGGGACTACTCTTGTGGAGGGATTGATGTCGTTAAAAATCCCTGCTCGCTGCTTTGAACACTAATGCTTTATTCTCATTATGTTAGCATAGTAGGGAACATGTAAAGACATGCATCATTTTGGACGTTTCCTCCCTGCGTGGTTTTTGGCAGATGGTTTTATTTTCAGGTTTCTTTGTTGTCCTGTTGTTCTTACAAGGCGTGGCCAGTAACTGACTCAGTCATCTCGTGGCTTTCTGGCTTCTACGTGCACTCCATCGCCATCCTTAGTAGGGACACTATAAATGAATAAGTCATAAATAACAAGATTTGCTTGTCAGTTTTGTTTGGATTTTTTGTTTCTTATACAGATGACATGTTAACATCAGATTAATATTTTATACTACACGTACGAAGAGATTTCTATACGGTTTAACAATGAAAATGAAGTACTGCAAACATTGATGCAGACGTGAATTTATAGCAATTTCACTAATTCAAAAATGTATTTGTCCCGTCTTTCTTATTTGTGTCTAGTGTAATTAATGATGGAGTTAAAGCCTGTTTTGACCCTCTATTCGTAGGGAGAGCTTTGTTGGGAAAAAAAGAAAAAGAAAGGAAAAAAAAGTGAAAAACCTGAGTAGTGAAAGAGAAAATACGAAAAAGAGGGGCAGAAAGGAACAGAGTGATACTCCACAAAGTATTACACAAAACTTCTGTAGGGTTCGTTCTCAGATTCAATTTCAAGATTTGTAGTTTGGTCTTGAAAACAGATGGGTAAATGCTTCTGAAAATAAATGCCATTGGGAAGGACTGTGTTTCAAATTGAACCGATTTATAACGTGCTGAAGCTTGCAGCAGAGTTCAACACCCTTTTATCTCTCGTTATTAGAAAAGAAGATGAAAATAACCAAAACTTATATTGAGAAGAGGCCAGGACATCTGCTGTGGCAGGTACACCACTGAGAAATTGGAAGACCATGAAGAAGTACTGGAGCAAAAGAATCCCTTTTACTCAACAAGACTTGGGGAATTAAGTCCTACTGGGACTCAGTGACATAAAAAGATGAGCCAGGATAAAGACGAATGGAAATCCTTGTTTATTCCATAAGTAATATTTAATGTCATGGGAAGTACTTGGAGATGGAAGATTTTGTTATCACCTGTTCCTGTTTTACAAGGAAATCAGGAACATATCATAACAAAAGAAAAAGTGTTTCGCCATTTATTAAGAACTTCTGTAGAGAGCTTCTTCCCAGTAAGGACCAGAGGGCTTTTTTCCAGTGAAATCCTATTTGCTTCCATCATAGGCAATTTATCAGAGATTACTTTGTAATATCTCTGAATAGCTGTAACATCCCAAAGAATGAAAATTAAATCGTCTTTTCAGGACTCTATTTATAAGCTCTTATGTGCTTCTTTCTGTCATGCTGTCAACTCATCCTGGTTTCAGCTGAATCTCAAAATAAAGGGATTCACAAGAGATTATGCTTTTGTACATGTGCCCTATGTCCTTTCTGGAAAGAATTTTAGGAAACCGAGTTGGAGTGGCTTCTCTCTTGAGAACTGTCCACTATGAAGACAGGCCTTTGGGAAACATCAAACAAGGAGGGTCTGCTAGCCTGGATTGGTCCCACCTTACACTTGAACGTATAAAGTAAGTCCCTCCACATTGCACATGCTTTGCAGTGATATCAAGGTGACCCATTCTTAATAATAATGTTTTAGAAACTAACTTTGAATGTTCAGTTCTAATGTTCAGCTGAATATTGCTTTCCAAACTACAGTGGGTAACATAACTGCAACTCAAAATGGTATCAGAGAGCAGATTTCTTACATGACGTTAAATAGGAGCGATAAGAACTGCCTCCTGATATTTCAAAATTAGCTGCACATCACATCTAGTAATCAGCTTCCATAACATGCTTCCTGTTGAGCTAAGGTTACATACACTAGATGGTCTGATACTAAAAAGGCTGACGACACTGTAAGGCTGGAATCTGCAGGATCTGTTTTTCACTATCATTCTGTGCTGAAAATTGCTTCCATCTTGGAGAAAAATGGCTTATCATCTCACTTTGGTGTTTATGATCATTAATCATATGAAAGTAGTACCCCAGACTGTTAGTATGCTAAAAGTAAAGCTTTTTATATAGCTTTGTCATAAAAAACAGACTCTGTTCTAAAATGCTTACAATAAGCATTTATTAACACATTTGCAGATAAGCATTAGGAGTATATGAATGCATTATAAACATGATTAAGGTCACATGGAGAGTCTATTGGAAACACTATTTGCTCATAAATCTCCCTACTCTTCACACACAATCTTAGCTTCAAAAATAAGTTTTCTCGTTATGCATCCAAGAACAATGTTATAAACTATGCTACCATATCTTAATTTCACTTGAAAGTGCCTTTGTTTTGAGA